CAACACAGATTTTGGGCAGAGTCTTCCTTATACCGGGTACTCCCAAACGCATAACCTGTATACATTTCAATCACTTGACCATTTCAAGGTCCAATGTACATCAATTTATCACTAAAATTGCTCAATTTACATCCTTTGAAAAAAAGGACTCAAGGCCTAAAGGCTTGACAAGATCATTTTAAATTTATGAAAATTTAAGAGAACCTACCGGTAGAAAATCAACGTTCTACTGGCAGAAGAGCTCACTATCATTCTTCCACCGGTAGAAAATCAATGTTCTACTGGCAGAAGAGCTCACTATAATTCTTCCACCGGTAAAAAATCAACGTTCTACGAGTAGAAGAGCTCTTTAGAATTCTTCCACCGGTAGATAATCAACGTTCTGCTGGTAGAAAAGCTCTCTAAAATCTTTCTACAAGTAGAAAATCAACATACTAATGGTAGAAAACCTCATTGAAAATTTTTTACCGGTAGATAATTCAATGTTGTATCGGTAGAAGAGACAATTTGCCCTCAATTCAATCCTTTTTCAATTCCAACTCGTCTAATCTCATACAACGTCCATCCAAAATCATATAACATCAAATTTTACACAAAATATAGTTCATATGAGTTCATTTTACAATCCTTTATAAAATATTACATGCTGAAAAACTAATTATACATTTGTTTTACAAAAACATAATTTAAAGCCACAACTGCATTTTCTTCATCTATGAGGGCCCAAGTGAGAGACATTCATTGGCGCTTGTCCCACTCCTGAAATATTCTCCCCACAAAGGATGAGTCACGCTCAATAGGATATCTCCTAAAGAAACTACTCCCCAACCTAGATGCATATGAAATGCTTACATGCAATTTAACAATTAAACAAACATTCATCCAAGAACATACAACTTCAAGAATGAATGTCATAATGATATGCCATGTTATGAGGTGAGACTCACACATGCAATGCAACCCGAGCCTTCATTGGCTCCCATAACACATGCAATGTCATGCATATGAATCCGGATATTCCAAGCTCCCGTCATTGATGTTGCACATCCAATGACTATTTATAAATTCCAGTTATTTCTTGGGGTGGACATTTATGGACTTCCACCATCGGGCACCCAACTGACACGGCATTTATGGACTTCCATTAAACGGCTCTGCATACGCTGACACACTTTATGGACTCAATACCAATGGAGTGCATATCCAAATCACAGGGTCTTGCACCTAAGGGGCAATCTAGCCTTTCTTGCTAACCCCAATCATATTTTCAATGCAACCCATGGAACTCAGTCGACCCTTGGTTCAACTTTCCCGAGCCCACGCATCATCCACCAAGAATGATGTATGATCAAACCATGCACACACCCATGCCCATGTCACTTGTCCACGAATGTGATGCTTCCCGTGCTTATGCAGTGTGATGTACAATTACAATTTCAATGTCATCTTTATCATATCATGAGAGTAGCATGGCATTCACCATTTTCACAATGTCAATTATATTTTGTGCATATACTTACATTCCACAATTTCACCAAGCATGTTATAACATTTTCAATGAAACCAACATGCTAAATCAACAAAGACTTGAGATGAAATCTTTTGCTAGGAGAAGAATTCTACCTCTTGAAGCATAATGCATGTAGTTGGAAGCTCCCAATAACCCAAATCAAGTTTCAAACCTTGATTTCAAAAAAAAAAGTCTTTGAGACTTCGGAGAAATCCCTAATTTTTGTTACGTAGACGTAGCTTCGTCACATAGATCAACTTTAACTCTTGGCCCGAAGCATTTCGACGTACGGTTGGCCCTAGATCGTAGAGAGAAGCTTGAAGAACTTTGGTTTTTCTCTTTCCCCTCTCCCTTCTCACTTTTTCAAAATTCAGTTGGGTATTGGGGAGAAAAATCTGATTTTTCTTCCCTATTTATACCCCTTAGATACTTGGCCTTCGTTACACCACATGTCCGCCTTTCCCAAGTTAGATTTCATCCCGAATCAATTAAATCTTGTTATGTTTTAAATTCAATATATTTTTATTTGAACTAACTTTAAATTATTTTTCACATTTCGCAATTAAGTACCGATCACGTTTATTTTGGTCATGCGACACCTGATGCTTCGTAAAAAGCAAAAAATTCACTGTCTCAGAATTTAACATAAACTGACTACGTAATTACATTTCACGAGACTAATCCAATGGTGAGATCCATTTTGTCATCTGAGTTCTAGAAAATTTTAAATTTTTAATCTGTACCATAACAACTAATTACCATTTTGCCCTTTCTTATAAAAATTCAATTTTTTTCCAGGTTTTACACCATCTTCTCTGTTGTGTCGAGGAAGCTCTATTTCTGAATCCATGTCATCTAATAGTGGACCTCTAGCAATCTGATTCCCCTTTAGCAACGTACTGAGTAGCCTAACTCTACGTGCAACTACTCTCATCACAGTCTGTTAGGTCTCCTATAGACTTGTTATCCTACCATTAATCGCGTCCAACCTATGAGAAGTCATGCAATAATGTTTTGTCATCGTGTGCTCAGCCTTACCCATAATATTAGCAAATGCTATCATCTGGGTTGTAAGGATCTTGAAGCTAGACTCTATTAGTGGTGTCCTAAATGTACTAGTCTTAAGAAGAAAAGGTGAGACTTGATCCTCAACCACTACAACATACCCAGGATAAGCCTGACTTTGCTTCAATGAACTCTGATTAAAGGCCCCTCATGGGGTTCAGGATAATTGCTCATTGCCCTTGGTAGGTACGAGTAGTTAGAGATCCAAACAGTAGATTGTTTGATATTCTCCCATCTAAAAAGGCTCGCCGAATAGACCCAAATATCATTATCAGAAAATAAAAATCAATGTCATCCAATTATTAGGCTAGTGAATACCGTACAACACAATGGCCAAAACATGCAGAGGAGGCAAGTCTTCTATGGGTCTTGCACCTAGATAGTCATTCTCTACTCTAGGCAAACCAAGTGTAGTAGCTATGAGAGTGGCATAAAACATAAACTTAATACCTCGGATATATATAATAAAGTGACCAGCCTAAAGATCACGTATATGTGCATAGAACTCTCTCACCATGCTATCATCACATGCCACTGGGTCTATAAACATCCAAGTTCATCAACGATTGGTTATATATTCCACAATCTAATGATTTGAGCTCCGTGGTGTTTACTCGCTTTTCAATTAACACTGGCCTGAGAGGGAATTTTGCTCTGAATCTCCCTATGAAGTCCTAAGTCAAGGCAAGAGTAACTTCATCAAAGTTTTCTTCAATCTCCTTGAATACATCCTCAACCCTTGGTCATTTCTCTCTCCTTGGGGCATCTCTATACTCACTTGAAGAATCTAGGTCTCACTTATGTGGTTTAAAGATAAAACAATGAATAAACCTTAGATCTCTAAAAGAGTTTGGGAGGTTTTAGATACCTTGGGTGAAAGTTATAGGAGACATAAGACTTGATGGGTGGGTTTGGCATACCAAGAGTCGTCCAAAATACGATTTTATCGCTGAAAAACCTGAGGTCGCTTGAGCAGTGATGAGGTCGCTCGAGCGACTCTTGAAGTAAATCAACTCTATTTTTTGTTGTTTAGCCTACTTCAATTCATCCCCAATCAGTCCTAAAATGCATGCATGATGAAAATTAAGCCTTAGTGTTATTCAATGCAATGCATGGATGGATTTGAATCAAAATTAAATGCAATTTTTAAATTTAAACGACAAATGCTCAAAATTCAAATAATCATGAAAATTGAATCAATTTGTATTTTAATAATTTCATCCAAAATTCATCATTTCACTACACTACTCTAAGACACATTCAGAGATTTTGAACTCAAATACGTGCATCATGTTTGCTCACTTAGGTTCAATTTCATTCAAACATATTCAAATTTTGTTCAAATTTGACTAATTCAAGTGAAAAGTGTGTGAAATCAACCTCCAACACATAAAGAATTTCAAGGTTTAACGCATTAATAAGCTCAACATGAAATCCTGAATGCAGTCTCTAAGTGAATAAATGACCGATTAGTAAGTGTCATAAATATTCTCTTTTTGGCAACTTCCCCTCTTGTTTATCATTTCTTCTCTATGACTTCAATTAATTATGACTGTGAATTTCATAATTTAATGTATGCTTCTAAACATGATAAACATTAGCTCTATGAGCTTTACAAATGAGCAATTAACATTTAAGCATAAGAACTCTCATAAAGCAAGTGCAATTGTTTTTTGCCATTTATTTTTGTCTCACTTTTTTAGATTTTGCCACATTTGGCTCTTTTCTTATAATTTGGCCTTCAACATCTTCAAGGAATTGAGGTTTAACTAACCTTTAGCCATGTGTTCACCTATCGCCAACATTTAGAGCTATTCAAGATTATCAATAATTCAAACTAATCAAATTTCTAAGTGTGAACATGAATGACATCCGTGTGCTTGGTTTTGAATCTTTCAAAGACAAACACTATCTAAGCATGCTAGGATGAAAGAGACTTTGGCTAATGAATCATGAAATCAGATTTATGCCACAAATTTCTTTATCTCCTACTATGACTCATATCAATGCACATTTCAAATTTGACTGAGGGATGAAAATTTTTTAATGCAAATCAAAGTGTGAATTACCATGATCATGAACAAACAAAAGAAAATATTTTTGTCTTTTTCTTTTTCAATGTTTTTGAATTTTTCAAGATAAACATATACAAGAAAAATATGCATAAAGATGAAATCAAAACAAAGAAGTGCAAAAATAAAATCATTAACATAAATCCTAAAAATGAATGTTAAAGTTGACATCAAAACACTTTTTGGATTTTTTTTTTCTCTTGTTTTTGATTTTTCAAATTTCAAATAATTGTGTATTTTCATATGCAAAAAAAATGACAAAATAAACAAACAAAAATATATACATAAATGTATAGCCCTAAGGTGTTTGATGAAATGCATGCATGATCACCTATGTTTGTACACTCACCCTCCTATTTCTTAGGAGCCATGACCTTGCTATAAGCACTTGGGGCCTCTAACTTGGTTGAAATGGTGAGTTTCGCAAAGTCCTCATTGGTTTCCCATTCTTGTTTTTCATTCCTAAAACTCGAGTTAGGTCGGGGAATGGGTGGAGGACTAGCTCTCTTCTCCCCAGGAGTGTGCAAATCAATCTTGACCTTGGGGGTAGAAAAAGCCTTGTGCACTCTAGCTTGTGGTCCTTATGATGATGATGCATGACATTGCTTGGAAACACATGACCTTTCCAAAAGTTTAGAAAAATTTAAGACTTAAGAATTCAAGGCTTTGGATTGATTTGATAGATGCAAAAGTTCCTTGCTCAATACATCCTTATTTTTCATGCAATGTTTGGTATGATGACCATGCTCTCCACAAGTATGACACACATCATGATTGGATTGCGTTCTATGAACAACCTTCTTCTTTGAATGCCTACCCTTGCCATTATGAGCATTTTTAGTGCTTGTGCCTACTTGTGGGGTGATTGGTTGGTGATACCCTTCACAAATACGGTCTTGGAAGAAGTGTGGGTGTGTTCATTTGTATAGCCTAAACCATGCTTATCACCTACACTCTTTCTCATAGACAACATTCTATCTAACTTTACATTTCTTTAGGGAAGTTTATTAGAGAGTTCAATTGATTCTCGAAGGTTTTTATCAAGTTTGGAATTTTTTGACTCAATATTCTTCTTAGACTTGACAAGCTCATGGCACTCTCTCTCGAGAAACATCACTCGATCAAGGAGAGACTTGTTCTCAAACTCTAGGCCACAATTTTTGGCCTTGGGCTTCACCAACTCCAAATGAAGGACTCTTGTCTCCTCTTCACTTGAGTTGACTTAACCAATCAAGGAGAGCACTTTCTCTTGTTGCTTGAGGTATTACACATACAATTGATCATATACATCTTGAATCTCCTCATAGCACTCTTCATCCTCCACACACGTGGGAATTTCTTCTTCCAAGTCTTCCACCTTTGTGATAGGACTTTTTTTAACTTCACTTGTGGCAATTTCTCCAAAGGGAGAGAAGAGTGGTCCTACAAAAGCGGTAAAGTTCTCTTCATCATCTTGAGAAGAGGAATCATTACCCAAGGTTGACTTACTTTCACTATCACTCCACTTGGCTTTCATAGCCCTCCTTTTTTCATTCGGCAATTCTCTCTTCTTTCTATTTAGGCATTCCAATGCAATATGTCCAAATCCTTGACAATCAAAGCATTGGAAGCCTTGTCCCTTTCTCTTAATTTCTTTTCGAGAATCTTTTCTCCCTTCCCTCCTTAGGAGTAGGTCTACTAGGATTTTCTTTTGACCTTGAGGACTCAACATTACTAGTCTTGAAATATTTTTTGAACTTCTTTGGAATCAAGGTTAGGTCCTCCTCTCCTAATCGAGGCGATCTAGATTTACCTCCTTCTTGATTTGTAAAGCTTAAGGCAATGCCATTAACTTGCTTTAAGGATGTAATGTTCATCACAAAGGTCAATATAGACCTAACTAGGTCTTCTACTAACACATACTCCATGCTGACACTCGTTTCCAAGGATGTAACCTTAGCATGAAACCTCTCGGGCAGAATTCTTAAGATTTTTCACTTGATGGCCACATCGTCAACCTTGGTACCTAATGCAAATGATGAATTTATAATATCACATAATTTAGCATAAAATTCACTAAATGTTTCATCATCTTGCATCTTCAAAGTCTCAAACTGAAAAGTGTACCTTTGGAGTTGATACATCTTCACCATGGAAGTCTATCATCAATTGATTTTAGAAATGCTCTCATGTGAGCTTTCCAATAGGAAAAATTAGAACCATCAAAGAGAAAAGGTTGTGTAATTGAACCATATTCCTTTTGAGAATCCATCAAAGACACTTAACCTAGAGGGGTGAATAGATTTTATGATTTTAGCCCAAATCAATTGTTAATTAAAACCTATGTCTACCACAATTACCTCTTCTCACAAATATGAAATAATGAATGTGAAAATCCCTTTAATCACCACTAACCCTTTGAACCATGGCATTGATTTGAATTAATTTGTAATTAATTGACTTAAGTCAATCTCACGATGATCCTAACAAACCCACAAACTCAATTGAAATTATCCTAAGTTAAAATAACTAAGGGTTAATCTTAGGTGTCTAGGTTGATACCTTTGTCCTAAACATGAAAGTGTATAGAGAGGTTGAATGATGTAGCTTTGGTGTTTGATCTCATCCCTTCAATGACATTTTTGGATCTTAAACTTGATAGCATCATAATGGATTCTATGAAATTAGCCAATTACAAAACATGATCTAACAAGCAAAAATTATTGAACACGTAGCACATCCTATTAGGCACACTATCATATGCGACAACTGTGGGGAGAAGATCATGTGCATATGAAATGTCAGACAATGGCTAAGCCATTATTATCCAAGCTCTAGTCAGGCGACAGAGTACTCTATACACACACACACACACACACACACACACACACACACATATATATATATATATATATATATATATATATATATATATATATATGAGTGATGCAGCAAACTAGGCATAAATTGCATCTCTTGACTAGATATTGAAGGGCTAGACTTGCATGTGCCAATCGATGCTTGTACACGATATAGCTTGTCAAGAAGGGGGAAAAATATGGGTCATGCTGAACTCACCTTCCCGTAAATTGATAGCGAACAAGTAGATTGCAGGCACACTTAATGAATAAAGATAAAGGTAGAGTGATATGGATAATGATGTTTGCCATTAAATGAGGAGCCTAAAGGGGCTAACTTATTAAGGAGCATCTTACAGAAAAGATCAAACACTAATATACTTTAGGGCATGACCTAGAACGAACAAAATGATGCAAGCTAAAATAAGAGTCGATGTCCATATTAGCTCTGGTTAGCTCTATATATGGGAGGTACTCCCCTGGAGATATAACATCAATTATCCTAACTCAAGAGCTTAGGCATATATAGCTTGCCAAGATGGAGGAAAAAATATTGGTCGTGCCAAGCTCACCTTCTCTTAAATTGATAGTGAACTAGTAGATTGCAAGCATAATTAATGACCAAAGATAAAGGTTGAGTGATAAGGACCAGGAGGTCTACCATTAAATGAGGAACCTGAGGAGGCTAACTTCTTAAGGAGCATCTTACAGAAAAAGATCAAACATTAATAAGACTTAGGGGTATGACCTAGACTGAACAAAACATCACAGACCAAACAAAATGATACAAGATGAAATAAGAATTGATGTCCTTTTATAAATGATATGCCTAAGCTCTTGAGTTGGGATAATTGATGTTAAATCTCCAAGGGAGTACCTCCCATATATAGAGCTAACTAAAGCTAATGTGGGAGTACCTCTCATATTTGAGCAACACCTTTAGCGGAGTACCCCCTTGAGTAAATAAGATTGGGCTTCAAAGCAAATCTTTATGTGGAGTACCTGCCACATGAAAGATTCTACTAGGAAGCTCAGGCACGATTCAATCTAATCCTAAGGTAGGGGAGGAAAAAATCCTAACAGAGGCAGGGACATAGCTCACGTGCAACCAATTGATCAAATTTAGGCCCAAGGCTAGACACAATGATGTAATTTGAATGGGTAAATATTTGAGACCGATCATATCAGTGGGACAGTGCAAGGGTCTCAATGAGGCGGAGCCTCTTTTTTTGGGGAAAGGAGAAATAATCAAAAATTTTAGGCCTTGGCCCTTCATTGAGGCCAAGCCTCTTCGCTAGGGGAAGGGGTCAGAATTCAAAAAAAAAATTGAGTATGAAAGGGCCTAGTCCTTATAGAGGTCGGGCGTCTTTGCTAGGGGAAGGGGGAAATCATACATCCAAAAGTTGTGACTAAAAAGAAGTCCGTTGATAACATGACATTTGTCACAATCATATGAAGCAATTGGAAGAGTGAGGAGACATGATAGACCAAAGTACATCTGGTTAAAAATGGGGTTGATTCCTGGACACCAAATAAGAAATATGACAATGTCAGAAAACCCGAGCATACTCGTGCTATCCCTTGAAAGCCGCAGGACACCAGTCATACTAATCATGGAATGTTTGGTACATTACCTTACATACAGAGTTAGGAACCAAGTAACCAAGATGTCAGTTGATGGTATGAGTCACAATATGAAAGATGATTAGTACTGCAGTTTTTACCTTATTTCACCAACACATTTCCAAATGAGGGCAAAAGCTCGAAGAGAAATAAGGTGGTAATATCAACACCACATCTAAAGAGCTAAATAAAAGGGTTCAAATTAACTTTGACCCTAATGTATCAATTTTACAAGGACAAGTGATGAATAACATTAAATAGGACCGTTTGAAGAGAGAGAATGTCTCTTTCCAAGCTAAAGTAGGTCTAGCCGAGCAGATGGAAAAAATAACCAGTTAATAGGAAGTAGTCGGGTAGGTCAACAACACTCCCGAGCAGAAGGGTTGTGCCAAGCAGAGTATGTGAGAATCATAGTCAAGGATATGCCAAACAAATTAGAACCCAAGTGGAACTCTACTTCCACGGAATACGGGATAAGAATAAACTCCACCCGAGTGTAGGATAACATCCAACCGAGCAGATAGCTAGGCTATCCCAAATAATTAGAGGCGGAGTAAAACAACCAATAAGGAAATTGCCTAAATTGTAGGTGCACATTATTAACTTGTGACCTAAAATATTGACTAATGAGAAAGGAAACCGAGAAAGATTCAAACACAAATTAAAGAAGGTTTGGCTAGAATTTAGGTGTGCCACCATATTTCAACCAGGACTCTAGTCATAAATAACTGGGGACAGACTCCCTATAAATACCATGTAATACTGAACTCTAAAGTATGTACACTTTCTCCCTTGAATCGTATATCCTCTCTTATGTCATTACTGACTTAAGCATCAAACTGCCTCCAACCAGTAACCCATCGATCTGTGACATATCGTTCATTTTGCAGGTTAGAGACTCTTTATTTTGACAGGTTTGCCTCCAAAAAAATCCTTACGAATTAAGATACACCCTGTAAAATGAGACCAAAACTATAAACAATATCAAGTATGGCCAGGTCTAGGGGGCCGAAGAGTGATAACTGCCCTTCTAAGGTTTGAAATCTCCGTTTGTTTTTGACATATAATTTATTAAACAATGACCATCTATTCTCTCTTCCTGTCTTCCCAGTCTCTTGGATTCAAATATCTACAACATTTTCTTTTCTCTAGACAAGTCATCCAAAGAATATTTATAAGGAACCCATTTGTATATAGTTCCACTTGTACCATTCAAAACAATTAACAAAAATTTACTAGAAGGGATCCAAGGCTGTTATTTTTCATGTTCTAAGAATATGTATTTGAGGAAGATTTGTTAAATGAATTTACCACCTTCCCCAACCAAAAGAAAAACGGAATTTTAAATCGGACCTAAATTCAAAAACAAAACCAAACTTATTTTGCAGTCCAAGCATGAACCAGTCTAATGAGTTTTACGTTCATGTGCATGTATTTGAAGTCGTCAGGCAATTATATCAGTGACTAAAGCAATAGTCATTGTGAGTAGTAAATATTGGTTGCAACTATGATACCACTTTATCACTATCACAAGATGTTACTATCTAATAATAAATTTATAAATGGACAACGTGAACCCGACTTACTTATTTGTTGGTTTATTATTAGATGGTGATGTCACGTTATAGTGATGACTTATCACCGTTACACCTAATATTTTCTCCATTGTGAGATGCTTGATTAGACTTTATATGTCGCATTCTCATGACAATTTCCCTTGCTATGTGAGAACATCCTTAAATAATTGCGCTGCGCTAGTGGATCATCTATGTTGATGTTAACTTTTCCATCTGTATTTTCAACTTTAGTGGTGAAAAGGATACCTTTTGCATTGGAAAGTGTTTGCAAAATTCGCTTCATTGGCTCTTGTCCACCCATCAAGATAGAATGTTAGCTCATATTTAATTTTTGTGTTCGTCTCATTTGGTGCACAATATTCTCACATATTTTTAAACTTGAATCCACAATGTACTTTTTATAAGATGAATAATTATTATCACTCCATGTCTTAACTTCTACATTTTATTTTTATGTAATTAATAATTTAATATGACTT